TTTCTTTTTCTGGGAGCTTCTGAAACACTCTGCACTGTGTCTGCTGGAATTACAACAATTGTCTTTAGTGGCAGCGATCAGCCCAGGTGGCTGGCAGAGATCTGCACTCTACTGAGTGCACTTTTCTAGTTAAGGTTGGATTTCTTTTCACATATTAACATTTACAACAAGCTAATGATGCTGTAAATAAATGTCTGTTTGAAATGTGTGGACAGGTAAGTGAAAAGCAGAGCAGACTTTAGTAGAAAGAAACGACAGATGGTCAGTTATTTGTGATGTAACTTTCCACCAAATATTTGCTGAGGACACTTTTGTCAGAATGCCATTATCAGTCTCATGATCCCTTCTTTTCCTTTAATGAACTATAATTGATTGTAACTGTTTCCAAAATGCCAAGCAGTAATGGTTGATCAAAACATAATTTTTGTTTATTTCTCTTTACCTTACAGTTGCTGTTCTTCGTCATGGATGATTTTGTTCAGAACAAATTAACTGAATGGGATCTCAGTGAGTGGATAGAAACATTTCGAGGTAATACTGAAATGTCTTTCCATGCTTCTGTGTTGGGCACAAATATTATACAATGTTGGTATCTACTCATACAGACATAAAAAATGCTGCAACATGTTTCTGCAGCACAGTGCTGACTTATCATTGACAGACATATTTTTAAGACAAAAGGAGTGATCAGTGTTGACAAATCCTGACAATTCTTGTCTGTGATTAGAAAGTAAAAAACAGTATGAGTAAAGATCTTGTATTTTTTATGATTAATATGACTCCTCCAATCCCAAGCTTGCATTCACACACTGTATCTGTATTTGACAACCTGGGAATGAGACTCAGCAGTCAACTATCTTCCTCCAGAGTGCAACTTTAACTATTATTGATTTGCATCTATTTTCTTTTGTTACTAGGAGGAACCAAACACAACAAATCCAGAAACAGTTGATTCTCCTGCTCAAGTAAGTTGAAAACAGTTTCACACAGTAAAGTATCATCTAAGGCACTGTTGCCCAACTATTTGACATGGCAGCCATGTTCTAAGTTGTATTGTAATGAACTAATATCATGTTCTTCAGATGTCTGTTTGAACGTGTGTGTTTAATAAATTGAGGGGAAAAGATGATTAAATAATTAAAAAGAAACTTTATTCCCTACAATTCACTGATGTAAACTGGTGTACGGAGTCTAAAAAAGATGCTGTTTCTCCTCAGGTAGCCAAAGTATGACTTTGAATTACAGAGGCATGTAAACAGGGAACGTGCCTCTATTCTTCATTACTATGCCTTTGAGCAGTGGTGTGTTGTCCATTAAGGGCATTGGGGCATTGCCCCTCCTGCAGTTCCAAGTGTGAAAATACATATTTTTATAGGAAAACTATTTTTGTTATTATTGTGTTGTGTGTGTGTATAAATTACAGTCGATGCTCTCACACAAAGCATACATTATTACAATAAGCACTGCCTATATTCTTTGTCTCTGTGTGAAGGGGCATGTGTTTGCCTGATGCCAATATTTGTAATATGTTTGGCAGTGGTGTAGTGGTAGTTGATGAGGTGGGTGTACTACTGCTAGGTACATAGGTAGGTTACCAATGAGGAAGTAGGCATACTCTCCTATATATTACAATGGCTTTTTAGCTGATAGGTGGGTATACTGTAACTGGATAGAAAAAGAAGTGGGTATACCTGAGTATACCCTCCACTACACCACTGATGTTAGGATTTCCTGGTGGTCGTATCATTGACACGTCAAAAACAGCTGCATCTGGGGTGGACAATTTTTCCAATAAATGTTGCCAGATCCAGTGATTTTCCACCCAACTGGGCAGCTTTAGGATGGAATAAATGAATTTGCTGGGTTGACAAAAGTTTGGCCTGGTTCGTCATAGTACAGACATTTTTATTTTTTTTCAATACTTGGCTAATTTTCAGCTAATATTGACTGTTCGAACCAACCTGGCAGCACTGCTAGCTAGAAGGCTACTTAACCAGGCTGGCTGGTCAACCAGAAATGCACCCACCAGATTCTAGCCAGTCAGACAGCTCATAGCAAAGCAACATAAGAATACAGTTCGGTCTGTGGTAATATCCTACATATTTGTGAATTTGGGTACATTTCATGAACCTAAAAATGACCTCCAAACACTGTTTTAAAGGGAAATTTACACATTCAACCACAGGTTCGTCCATCCACCAGTGCTTCAATGGAAAAAGGTGAGATACACAGTATCTTAATGATTACATGTAGTGTTCACATGTGTTTTTAAGACGGTAATATCTTGCTTTGACTAGGCAACTCTACTAAACAAACAGTTTAATGCAACACTTTTATTTTTGTTTAGTATATTGAGACCTTGTTTCAATTTTGTGAGAAGTACATGCAACAAATGTCTTCCCTTTTTTTTTTAATCTAATAAGGAATGAGAAAGTTGAATCTTCAGGGTGAGTCCAGCAATTGGCAATCACCAACTAGAAGACAACGATGTGAACCTGTGTCATACTCAGGTATTTCTAATACTTTCTAAGCAGTGGCAGCCTCCCACAGAGTTATACATTTATGTAATGTATTTTTTTTTACTTTTTTAATAGAAAATGTCTGTTAATATCTTGGCTTCAGTAAATGTTATCTCATTAGTTGTGTGTTAAAATCTTATCAGGATACCTCAATCAGTCAACAGCACGCATGCCATAAGGATTAAACCACATGTATCTGTACAATACAATACAATACATACAGTAACATGCAACAATCCATACAGTTTGCTTCTGTGCCTGGTTTCAAAAAAACAAACAAACAAACCAAAAGAAAAAAAACTCAGCCCAAGGTTGAAAAGTGTATGCCACTATGTGATGATATTGTCAGCCTCCGCCACCAGTGAGACAAACAGTTAAACTGCTGTGCTAACCCTGCTCTGAAGGTAAATGTAGCACAAAATATCATGCTCCAGACAGGTTATCATAATTTAGAATCTTCATACAATACCAAATACACATTACTCACCACTTTTTTCACTACCCCAACATAAAGCAAAAGATCCACACACACAAAGTAGAACAATGTTGTTTTAATTGGTGTTGTGAGGGTCCTGGTGATGGAGATGGGTCCCCTGCCCATGGTCCCCACCCTGGAGGTGGGGTCTGAGGCTGGAGGTCTGCAGCCAAACCCTTTCTGGTTATTATAAACTTAAACACTGCAGAACGCGGTCAAAAACTTACAATCCAAACCAACACAGACTTCATGTCATGTTTATTCACGCTGTTGTCAACAATTTCCTTTTGTCATGCACACTAAACTGCACCATACCTGGCCTAAATAACTTATGCCTGTATTCTAAAACAGAAATAAAGTAAATATAACCATACCCTTAGCACAGTCCACTACTATACACTATTCAATATATACAGAAACTGTTGTGTAAACTTGAATATCATCAGAACTTACACCAATTAGCCAAAACATTAAAACCACTGGCTGGTGACGTGAATATCATTGATCATTTTGTCACGATGCAATATTCTACAGGGAAACCTTTAGTCCTGCCTTCAATGTAGATGCTGCTTGACACGCTCCAACCACCCAAACGTTCTTGCAGACCAAGTGCCCCCCCTGATGGCAGAGGTCCCCCCAGCTGGACAGTGCATCATATGAAACCATAAAAACTGCTCAGGAGAGGCCTAAAGAACATGGAAAATAGCGCAAGGCATCAACCTGGCCTTTGAATTTCCCAGATCCCAGTCTGATCAAACATCTGTGGGACATGCTGACACCTCATAGATAGCCCCTATACATGGTGGTGCCTCCCAGGATCAGATTTGGCTCTGACCTTTCGAGGCATGGACACAGGACCTCTGAGGGGTGTCCGTGGTGTCTGGCACCAGGGTGCTGGGAACAGATCCTTTGAATCCTGTGGGTAGCAATGTGGGGTACCAGCACTTCCCATGGATGCTTGATTGGATTGGGATCTGGAAAATATGGAGGCCAGGTTGATGTCTTGAGCTCTTTGTCACGTTTGTTAGGCCATTCCTGAGCAGTTTTTGTGGTGTGGCATGGTGCATTGTCCTGCTGGGGGGGCCACTGCCATCAGGGAGTGCTGTTGCCATGAGGGGTTTCCTTGGTCTGGAACAGTGTTTGGGTGGGTGGAACATGTCAAGTGGCATCCACATGAATGCCAGGACCAAAGATTTCCCAGTAGAGCATTGTATTGCAACAAGATAATGTATTTTAATCACTTCACCTGTTAGTGGTTTATATGTTGTGGCCGATCGGTGTATATGATATGTCATACCAACACAGACCTTTTTTTCCAAATATAAATATGTGCTTAAGCGGCTCTTACAATGTTTATTCATGTATTTCTTAGACCAAAAGAGAGCTTATAGACTAAAGCATACTCACCTGGGGCAAATGAAATGACACTGATGCTACTACAATCCCTAATGTTAGTAGCTGGTGATGTAGGTTTTATATGGTGTGGGAGGGATTATGATAATGATGGCTCCATTGTGTACATTACTGCTTACTGTATGCACTGGTTCCTGCTGAATGATTCTTTGCTTTTACTCTGACAGAAGAAACTATACTGTCTAAAGTGAAAGAAATCATGGATGATGTCCAAGACAAACTACCACACCAAGACAACAAGCTCCATCAGTTCCTCAAGTAAGTAGTGAGTTTTTCGTATTCCATATTCTTTGGTATATGGACCTGGTTTCACTCTGTCATGTGAGACAGTCTGCATTTTGCTTTTAAATTAGTCTTAAGCAAGTTGGACAGTTTCATAAAAACTACATACTGACTTATTTTAAGCCTAAAAAGTTCCCTCAGGTTATTTCAGAACTGAAAGTCATGTTTCCATGGTAACTGTCTGCTGACAAGTGGCATCTAATGACAAAAAAAGAAGAAAACATGGCTCATAATTTGTGGTTTGTTAACGATGTTTTGGAGTGAGTAATAAAGAAATAGTTTTTACAGACCGCAGTAAACCTGTTTGAAATATACAGCAGTGAGAGTCCTGCCACATTCTAAAACCACAGCATCTCAGCAGGTCTGTACTGCATTGAGATTTTTTTGCTCTGGAAGGCTTTTCTATTGTTACACTCTACACTATAACTGCTGAAATATTTCAGGAGGTAAATGTTCTGCAGGAGTGAAGGAAGCTGCGCAGTTTGATACGGTTGCTTGGTCTGCCACCAATCGTAGTTTTAAAAAAAATAGTCTTAATTCAGAATTATCCGGAATTCATAGCAAATTAGTCCTACTGAAGATAGCCTAGGACTATATAGCTTTGTGACATCATTAGATGTCTATCTGAAGCTTGACTGTTAGTTTGATCAAAGCCGTAGTCAAAGTCTATCTTTGTGAAACTGAACCCAGGTCTTATAGAATGTCAGTCTATCTTGAATGGTTTTCACATCACAGGCTTAATTTCTAAGCACATAAGATATGGGCACCGTCAGAAGCTACGTGGCTATCACGTTCGCTACATTTACTTGCTTGTGTGTCAGTAAGCTCTCAACAAACAAAGCCAAATGTGTTTAGAGGCCAAACTTATAAGACTGAACAGTTGTAAAATGTCTCCTGGAGAGCTGTCAGGCACTGCATCCAAGAATATGTACAGAATTGGTGGCTTTAATTCCCCTGCTAAGACAGTTTGCTATTGGTCGGTGATGCAGATTCATGTGTCAAAGTATACCAAAGCTCAGCTTAATGTAAAAACACTGAAAGGAGTAACAAACTTCACAAGCAAATCCAATAAATCATTTTTCTTGTGAATTATTATTCACTTTATAAAGTTTCAGGCTGAAAAACTGAAACCAATGAATGAAAGACGGTATAAAGCCCTGTAAAGCAGAGGGGAACCTTAAAGTCTGGTGATAACTCTGTGTGGTGTCATCTCTTGGTGACCCTGCTCACATACAAGTCGTCATTTGAACCAGTTAATATGAAAATATTGATTACAGCTGTTTGACTAGGCTGGTCATACTGTAGACGTTTTTCTATGTTGACACGGTCTTTCAGTGTTTGTTTATTTTCCAAATTGATCAATTAACTCCTGTTCAACCTCTTGTACAACAGGAAGAAAATTAAGGATTTGGAGATCGACAAGAGGGAGCTGGTCGGTGTCTTTGGTAAAACCGGGGCTGGAAAGAGCTCTCTGATAAATGCTGTCATTGGAGAGAAGAATCTCTTGCCTTCTGGGAGTGTCAGTGCATGTACCTCATTCATGATTAAAGTGGAGGCTAACATGCAGAAACAATATGAGGCAGAAATTGAGTTCATCACAAAAGAGGTAAAATTAGTTGAATATACTGTGTTTATGTTCACTTGAAGCAAACTGAAAAGTTATGATGTAGCTGCAAAAATATAGTTTCTCTTTACATCACATGATGTTTAATTAAACTGAAATAAATTCTTTTATTTTTTTTTAGGAGTGGAAAGATGAGTTGTGGTCCTTGTTAAATTTCCTTGGGGATGATGCAGATCAGGAAGATGACGAGGATCAGGACACTGTTGACAAGCTGTCAGCGCTGTATGGAGAAGAATGGACAGACAAATCCCCTGAAAACCTCATGGAGAACAAGTATTTCAAAGAAGTTCCAGAATTTCTCCAATCCAAGAGAAAGCTTTTGACATGTAAATCAGTGAGTAAGACAAAATAAATTATTGTACATATTTACATGTATCACTGTCTGACAGAGTGAAATGTTATTAATTTCTAGTTATTGAGGTTAAGTAATGCACTTACAGCCTGGCCATTTCAGATTGGTTTAGTTTAACAAATCTGTAATGAACACTGTGTTTGTGATGCACCTTTTTAAACTTTGCAAGTTTGCTCTTCAATTAGTCTTACGCAAGTTGAATAGTTTCATAAAAAAATACATACTGACTTATTTTAAGCCTAAAAAGTTAGTAACCTTTCCCTCAGGCTATTTCAGAACTGAAAGCCATGTTTCTATGGTAACTGTCTGCTGTCCAGTGGCATCGAATGACAGAAAAAAAGAGGAAAACATGGCTCATAATCTGTGGTGCAGAGTGTATAGGGGCTTAAAACAATATGATAGAAGATTATGATAGCTATTGCTTTGCTCAATTATGTCTCTTAAGTTGTTGCAGAAAAAATGTTAAAAAATCCCTCAAAATACCACATTACGACACCAAGTCCTTGATGATCATCATAGAAAAGCCTCTGCTGTGATCTGGTATCAAAAACTTTTGACATTTTAAGATTTCTGTAGAAATTGCATTTTTTTTGTGATTGAATGACGAGCACTTCTGTTCTAGAAACGTCTGAGAACCCCTTTTATTGTCAATACACCTATGAAAGTTATGCATCCTCTGGATGCCCGCTGTCTCTAGTCAGCAGTTAATTATTCTGCAGGTCACAAAAGGTCATTTTATACAGTGCTGTCTATTGTGCTGTCTGTTTCTAAAAAATGGTCTCAGTACAACAAATTGGCAACTATGGGGGCTAACATCATCACACATTAATGAAACTGGGCTCATTGAATCCACGAGTCTCAACTTTCCAGTCATACTCAATTAATGCATTTCCAAGACTGTTTAGGGACCTGCAGAAAAAATAAAATACAACAGGTGAAAATAACATATTTGCACTGCATGCAAAAACCTGATGGCTTTTGCCCA